GGGCGGGGGGGGGGGGGGGGGGTGACACCAGGCCCCTGGGGCCCAACTGCAGTCAGTAGGGGTGATGCCATGCTCCTAGTGGCCCAATTCCAGTGTGCAGGGCAGGGTGAGGGTGGTGTTGGGCCCTAGGAACTGATTCTGGTGCACGGGGCTGGATCTGACCTGCTGACTGGCCCCACATCACTTACTGGGCCCACTGAGCCCAAGGTTTAAGTACCACTGCATTAAACAATCTAAATTCCTGCAATAAACGTATCAACTCACGTTAAGTACATGCCTGGTGCTCCACTAACATCTAGTGAACATTTAATGGACTAGCAAAACTCTTTAGTTTCTGCAGACCCATCATCTATTCTGAAGCTACTTACTGTAATACATGGAGCCTAGCTGCAGCTGTCCGTCCACCCATCCCTGTTCTGCAGCTTTCTGGAAATATTTCAGCGCCAGTTCATAGTTCTGTAGAAGAGCCAGTCATTAGAGCAAACCATGACAGCATGGTAAGGAGATATATACTGATCAAAACAAAGGACTTGCATCCCTGTGTGTCAAGAATTGACTATACAGCCCATAAAACTTAACATGTTACAGGAAAATGGTGTAAAACATGGTATACATGTTTTCCCATCCAACCATGTTGAAAATTACATTTAAACACAAAGGAGCTATTATGCTGTTAGGAAGACTATGCAATGATATTCTTACTTGACAGATCCACTCAGTAGTGTTTGCTGACAAGTGTACACAACAGTATTTATTAACAATCAACTGCCCCACTTGTCTTACGGTTCTCCTAATTTCCTCTTCAAAAAGTATTTCTAGTAACTGTAGGACATGGTCATACACCTTCTTGTGAATACCTAATTAATTTATATTAAATGGGATGGACATGCTGTACTGTTTCAGAAGCCAGCAACTCTGTAAGCACTTAGCTATACTATTTAGCTTTGAACTAGTTCAACAATACCACTGAGAAATCTGTTTTTGAACAGCTGAACATAAGCTCCCTTGCATATGGAAACACTGGCAAGGTAATTAAACAAGCAGTTGACCCTTCAATGTTCCATAAAGTCTAGACAACAAACTTACATCCCAGGAGGCAAAGCACAAAATAAGAACAATTTAGACTTGTGAACCATATTTTAGGAGGAAAAATAAAATACTTTCTGAATCTAGCTATACGAATTATTTTTGTGATGCAACTAGACTTTAAAGCATGAAACACATCAGATGTGAAGGGAAAGTCATTTTATTACTGTACTTTTAATTTCAAGATAATGACCCTTTTATCTGTCACCTACCACAGTTTAAGAGTTTATTCACCAAGATCAGGGTTAAGAAGATATTATTCCAACTCACCACTGGAACTCCTCTTCCATATAGATAAGCCATTCCTAGTCCACTCTGCCCAACTGGATTACCCTGAAAATAGAGGAACACACTTCTGGGAAAAAGAGGGACTTTGCTATGAGTGTGTGCAGTCTTTAATAATCTTGGATATTTACTGGGTGTGTACTGCTTAAGATGAACAGAATTTCATAAACTTAAATGTCATAGTCTGTTTAAGCCCTGTACTAGCAGTGTCTCCCAAGTATTTTCCCAACTTCATTCTGTTTCCATTCCAGTGATTTCAGTGGAAAATGAGGTCATGTGATACTAGTGGTGAGATTCTGCGTCTTACTTCTAAAATAAATTATGGCACTTGCAATCCAGGGAGAGGAGCAGATAAGGCAGCTTTGGACATCTTTGTGCCATCTAAATCCTGTGCTCTGGCAGCTGGATAGATCACAAATAAGCCAGATCCAGTCTGTGGACTGTATGTCTGATACCCCTGAGTTAAAGGACATTACATTCAGGTCTCCCATATCCTAAAGCTGTGTTCTTACCACTGGGCTCTTTTGTGCCACGGGTTATTTTTCACAAAGCAGAGAACCTTTACAAGTCTTGGCCTTGTCTCAATGCAAAACAGGAAAAATTTGAAAACGGGAAATTTTTGTGGGATAGGAAAACACTTCCTTAGCCAAGAACTTCCCATTTTGACCTTTTTATTTTAACTTGTAAGCAAACATACCATATCTGCAGCTTTCTTGAAATACTGAAGAGCAGTCTCATTGCTCTGAGGTACAACATCACTTCCTTCTGAATACATCTAGAAGACATAAATAGGGTTAATCATTAAGAAAGAGGTATAACATTTAATTTGGGGTGGATAAGATGAAGAACCTTAACTGGCTTTTTATGTGATGTTAAATGCTTGTTTTATTGATGGATAATGAAACATTAAAATATTATATGTTTAAATATCCACTAAATATTATGGGTAAACAAAGGTCTTTAAGCGCTTAATTAGTTGTCTCAAGGGGTGTCTGCAGTGTCTGGGAGCAGTGGCACCTTCAGAGAAAGAGTATGTTGTGCTTGCCTGAGCGACTCTTCCTCTGTTGGTCCTCACCAGCACCCAACTCTCAACTATGGCTCCAAGTAGCTGTCTGCATGCAACAACAGCCACACCCCAGTAAACGGCCTCGACGGGTGGGCCAAACCAGGCAAGGGTACTCTGTCAGTCTCTAGACCTCTGGAAAGATAGGGACACGCCTATCCCTGCATTCAAAGTCTGACTCCAGCTGACTGGGCAGATGAGACCCTTGTATGGTCCAATGGCCATGATCGCGATACAGCAATGTGCAGTGGATTGTGCAGAGCAGGACAAGACACAAAAGATGTTCTGGTCATCTGGGCCAAATTACAGCCGTCTTGACACTGTCCTGCCACTGGTTACCTATTGACTCGGACAAGAGAGTGAGGCTGATGCTGTGCAACTCTTCCTCACTCAAATCCAAGTCCTGTGCAACTCAGATCCAGCACAAGCCCTGTGGCGACAGGCCAGTGACAAAGCAGCAGGTGTGGACACACTAGAAGCTGTAGCTGCAAACCTGAACATGGGTGGCTTTGGGTCACTTTCTACTGGACAGAAGCAGCAGTAGAACTCAGCAGCCCCCTGAGTGACTGAGCAGCCCTATTCAGGACTGCACTGCTCACTTCCTAGAATGAGGAAGGGGCTAGAAAAGGGGCCCCAACATTGTCTGCTTCACCTCACCCTGGCCAGCATACCGTGGGTGGCAGGGGCCCTTCTACAGTAGTTGAAAAGAAAAAAAAAAATCAATCTCCCTCAAGCTGGCTGTGTGGAACATATGCATGTTGATCGACAGAAACACCAACAGACACGAAAGGAGAACTGCCTTCATCAGGAGAGAACTGGGCAGATACAACAACTAGATCACTGCCCTCAGCGAGACTCACCTACCCGACAAAGGGCAGCTCACAGAAGGAAAAGCTGGTTACACATTCTTCTGGCGTGGTCATGGCAGCGAAGCCAAATGGGAAGCAGGCGTTAACGTTGCTATATAAAACAGCCTAGTCAAGAAGCTGACCTACCTGCCTAAAGGAGTGACTGACTGACTGACGGTGCTCAAACTCCCCCTGCTCAGAAAAAAGTGCACCACTATCATCAGTGCATATGTCCCTATCATGACCAACTCTGATGAAGTCAAGGACCAGTTCTACAATGACCTCCACTCTATGATCGCTGCTGTACCAAAGCCTGACCGTCTCTTCCTCCTTAGTGATTTCAATGCCAGGATTGGCTCTGGCTGCCAAGCATGGGATGGCATCATTGGGAAGCATGGGATCAGAAGCTGCAATAGCAATGGTCTTCTCCTACTCAGACTATGTGCTGAACATGAGCTCCTGGTTACCAACACTGTGTTCTGTCTCCCCAGCTGGAAGAAGGCATCATGGATGCACTCTCACTCCAAGCATTGGAATCTCATCAACTATGTCATCATCCAAAGGAGGGACAGACATGATGTCCATGTAACCAAAGCTATGTGTGGCGCCAGTTGACTCATCACCTCCTTACTAAAGATCACTATTCAAACCAGATTGTGTCCACAAACACAAAGTGAACCAAAGCACCTCAACACTGCAGGGCTGATAGACAACAGCACTGGGTTATCTTTTGCGAACCATCTGAAAGATCAGCTTCACACTACACCACTACATTCCAGCTCCATCGAAGCCAACTGGGAGCATCTGCAGACACAAACACTGGTTTGATGAAAATGAGGAGGAGATACAACAGGTGCTGAAAGAGAAGCAACGTCTCTACAGAGCCTACCTCTATAAGTCTGTGTCAGCACAACATGCCTACAGCTCAACACAGACCGGTCCATTCATCCAGCACTATGCTGACTGCAACGATGCAAAGTTCTTTGACACCATAAAGGCTGTCTATAGTCTGCACATCCTCGGATCCTCCCCTCTGCTGTCCACCAATGGAACCACGCTGCTAACTAACAAGGCCCAGATCCTCCGGAGATGGGCTGAACACTTCAGCGCTCTTCTCAATCAGACATCCTCCATCAACATGGACACCATATGCAAGCTGCCTCAAATCACCATCAACACTTCACTTGAAGCTCTGCCTACAAGTGTGGAAGTCCAAAAGGCCATGCAAACATCTAGTGGCAAAGCTCCTTGAGCCAATGCAATTTCAGCAGAGACCTACAGATTAGGTGGTCACAGCCGCATGGAGAAACTAACCAAGATCTTCTGCAGTATGTGGGTGCAGGTGGTAGGCCCTCAAGAATTCAAGGATGCCTCCATCATCCACCTGTACAAGAGGAAGGGAAATTGTCAACTCTGTGACAACCACAGGGTCATCTTCCTCCTCTCAACTGCCAGCAAGATTCTCATGAGAGTCCTCCTCAACCAGCTGACTAACCATCTCAACGACTTACTACCTGAGAGTCAACACGGCTTCAGAAAAGGATGTGGAACCACCAACATGGTGTTTGCGGCCTGGCAGCTTCAAGAAAAGTGCCAGGAACAGAACATCCACCTTCTCCTCAAGTTCATCGACCTCACCAAAGCCTTCGACACAGTGAACTGTGAAGGCCTCTGGGAACTCATGAAGAAGTATGGATGCCCTGGAAAATTCATCAATATGGTTTGACAGTTCCATGACAGCATGATTGCACACATCCTTGCGAATGGCAAATGCTCTAACTCCTTTCCAGTCACAAACGGCATCAAGCAGGGCTGTGTGCTCACACCTACCCTCTTCAGCATGTTATTCTCTGCCACGCTGCTGGATGCCTTCCAAGATGATGACCTTGGTATGGGGATCAGGTACTATTCCGATAGAGACATCTTCAACCTGAGCAGAATCTGAGTGAGCTCCAAAGTCCAGACAGCCACGCTTTGTGACTTCCTCTTCACTGATGACTGTGCGTTATGCACAGGCTCAGAGGCTGACACGCAACGGTCCATGGACCAAGTCTCATCAGCCTGTGACAACTTCAAACACACTATAAACACAAAGAAGACTGAAGTGATGTTTCAGCTTGCGCCTGGCACAACACCCCAGGAACCACGTCTCAGTTAAAAGCCAACAACTGTTGATGGCCAACAAGTTTGCCTATCTAGGCAGCACACTCTCTCATACTGTCCACACTGATGACAAAGTCAATGCGAGGCTAGCAAAACCCAGCGTGGCCTTCGCAGACTCCAGAAGTCAATCTGAGACCTCAGAGGCATCGGAATGTCAATGATAGCTTTGTAAACCTTCAGTTTCATTCTCTCAACCCTCCTTTATGCCTGCAAAACCTGGACTGTCTACCAGCATCATGCCAAAAAACTAATCCACTTCCACCTGTGCTGCCTGTGAAAGATACTAAAGATCAAATGGCAGGACAACATTCTGGACATGGAGGTGCTCAGAAGATCATCTCTCCCCAGTATCCACACCCTACTGAAACTGGCACAACTAAGATGAGCCAGCCACCTTTCAACCCAACACTCACCTGCTGAAGAAAATCTATGGCAAACTGTCAAATGGAGTATGCTTTCGTGGCACACCAAAGAAGTGGTACAAGGACACCCTAAAGATGCCCCTAAAGAGTTTTGGCATTGATCCGGAGTCATGGGAGCAAATAGCTTGTGACCTCTATCCTGGAGGTCATTCATTCAGAGTGGAGCACTGGCCTTTGAGCAGTGGCACACTGCAGGGGCAGTGAGGAAGCATGTGGCCAGGAAAACAAGGATGTCTTGTGTCCAATCCTCATTGCTCTCCTGCCCCTGCTGCAGTAAATTGTTCAGGGCAAAGATTGGGCTTATAAATCGCCTGCGTACCCACACGACTTAGCCTCCACCCCCCTCCTCTCTCTTCTTTCTCCTTTTTCTTCTCTTTCTCCCTCCCTTTTTCTTTCCCACTTCCTTTCCCCCTCCCCTTGCCCTGCCCCAGATGCAGTCATCTTTACTTGCAAAGGACAAACAACTAGTTGTCTCAAAACTCTCCCTAAAAACCCAAAAAATGTACCACCACAAAAAACACACATACTTATGAACAGAAATTGCTAATCTCAAATTAAATCAAATTAATGTGCACACTGCACATCCTAAAGTTCAGCTACCACAGTGCTCTAGTAACAGCAATGGATACTATATACACACACATAGCTAAAATGCCAGAACAGTGTTAAAGTCACCAGAACAGGCCAGAAATCTTGTACAACTACAGCTGTAAAATGGGGGTGAAGAGTGGGAGGGGGAAGGAATAACTCCACAATTGGAAGACTAAAAATTCTGCACCCTCCACTGGAACATCTAATGGTATCCATTGGCTGTTACAAAGGGTATCTATACTTGTGCCCTGGGGTCGGGAGAGGTATGTGGGGGGATGCATTTTAATTAGAGGCTCTCTGAAGTCACTCTAATTAAAATGTCCACAACATCTTGTGTATTTACCAACCCAAGCTTCAAAACGGCAGCAATGCTTTAACTAAAGCTCGTATGATGAAGTTTAAAGCACCTCCACCACCATTTTGAAATGCGAGGATGCTGAATACATGTTTCATAGTAGTTAGGGGTCAGAAGGGACCTGAATAGATCATCTAGTCTAACCCCCCGCCACTGGCCAGAGCACACCCTGGGATCACATGACCCCAGACAAGTGTTCATCCAACCCCTTTTTGAATTTACCCAAGGTAGGAGCAAGAACCACTTCCCTAGG